GGAGTGTTGAGGGGCGAGCCCCGAGTGCCATCAGCAGCTGGGAAGTGGTCTAGGGGGTGCCTTCACTTAAGGTGAGCACCGATGGCCGCCTCCACGAGACCTGCACCCCCTCGAGTCCCCCCCACACACACACCGCCCTGGGTTTTGTGTGCAGAGGAAGGAGCCCTTTCCCTCCACGTGGCCATCCTGGAGGGGGGTGGGGAGCCGTTTTAAGGCTCCTCATGGGCCACCTTCGGCCCCCCTGTGACCAGCCCCCCAGCTCGCCCTGTGAGGACTTGCCTGGAAGTTTGTCACAAAGACCGACCGAGGAGCCTGCACCTCGGGGCCTCGCAGGGGACCCTGACGATGGGTTGAGTGTAGACCTGGGTCGGCCCTCCAGCATCTTGCAAAGCTGAGTGTCAGAGAGGGTGCCACTGGCTGGGCACAGCCGGGGACCCCAGACTCGGGGGCTGCCTGTCCAGGCAGCTGCGGCTCCGGGGAGGGAGGCTCCTCTACCTCTCCTTGTGCCCAGTGCCCCCCAGCATCCGGGAGGATGGACGCAGGGCCAACGTGTCGGGCATGGCCGGGCAGGCCCTGACGCTGGAGTGTGACGCCAACGGCTTCCCAGCCCCTGAGATCACGTGGTTCAAGGATGGGCAGCTGGTGGGTGTCCCCTGGGGCGGCCCGGGGAGGGTGGGTTTGGCTGGGGTATAGGCTTTCCTGACTGGTTATGGCAGGGAGATGTGACAGGTTTCTTTAGGGATGCACTGGGGCTCGGGGCAGGGGCGGACTGAGGTCTCACAGTGAAGCCTGGAGGTCTGCATGGTGGCGGGGGCGCGGCACTATTCTAGGAGTTAGAAGCCCCAGGTTCCTGTCACAGCCAGCTCTGTGGACCTTTGGCGGACTGAGGTCTCACAGTGAAGCCTGGAGGGCTGCATGGTGGCGGGGGCGCGGCACTGTTCTAGGAGTTAGAAGCCCCAGGTTCCTGTCACCAGCCAGCTCTGTGGACCTGAGTTCTCTTATTGCTAATGGTCTGGTACCCCGTCACCAGCTCCCTCTGACCTCTCTGCCCAGATCCCCGAGGGGGACAGCCACGGCCTCCTGAACGGGGCCCGGGCCCTCCACCTCCCCAGGATCCAGGCGGGCGATTCTGGCCTCTACTCCTGCCGGGCGGAGAACGCGGCGGGCACCGCGCAGCGGGACTTCGAGCTTCTCGTGCTCAGTGAGTGAGGCCTGAGCCTCCCCTGTGAGGCGGGCAGGGGAGGGGGGCGCTGTGCGTGCTGAGAGCAGGGGCACAGAGGGGCCCACACCCGCCCAGCTCCTCACACAGCTCAGGGCAGACATTCGACAATCACGTGAGTAGTGCTGGGAGCACAGTGGGGGCTCCCAGGCAGGACGTGGAGGGAGGGGCGCAGCAGGAGGGGGACCTGCATGGCCAGGGCCCTCGGTGGGCGGGGCTGCAGGTTAGAGCCGTTCCCCCTTCCACCCCCCCGCCCTTCTTGTCCTCAGTCCCACCTTCTGTGCTCGGAGCCGGGGCTGCCCAGGAGGTGCTGGGCCTGGCTGGCGCCCAGGTAGAGCTGGAGTGCCGGACCTCGGGGGTCCCTACGCCCCAGGTGGAGTGGACCAAGGACAGGCAGTGAGTGGCGGACAGCCCGGGGTGGTGCCCATGCGGGGCCGGTGGATGGGGGGCTCTGGGGAGGTTGAACTTGGGGGGGCTTGACAGGCATCGCACGTGCCACCA